GCAAGCAACAGAATAATCATATTTCATATAATTCAAGTGAAGTAAAGTAAAAAATCGATCTGTAGACGAATAATTTCTAAGCTGTAATAAAGGTTTTCCAACAAAGTTAGAGCCAGAAGGAGGGCATAAATCGCAAGTGGAGTAAGAAATTGTGCTTCTCTGAAAACTCATCGTGAAGTGCAACAAAAAGAAATCAGATTTAAGCCAAACAGAAACTTCATGTGCGAACTTCGAAGCTTACTAGCTGAAAAACTTCTGAAGCAAAAGCGTTTACACACTTTTCTTCTTGCTTCTTTGCTACTCATAAAGAGCAATATTCGTCTTCCGAGTACAAAGAGCAGTAAAAAGCACTGTTGCCCAGTATTACTTGCTCATATATTATCTTAAACGGGAGATAGTAATTAGCATGGGATGCTTCAACAAATTGAATTCAAATATTAATAATGAAAAATTTTTCAAACATTCTTTACAATGGTAGTTATCAAAACATTGTTTTCAATTTAATCGCAACTAGAAGGTATACACAAATAATTTGATCTTGATTGGAATGACATTTTTAGAAAGCAGCTAATGATCTGCAGGCTTAACTAAAAATTCTACTCTTTTACTCAATGAATTTGCTTTTTCTTTAAAAATATTAATTTATTTACGGAGAAGACTCCAGATGTGTTTTGCTGACATATTCCACTTGTTTGACATAATCTGTTCCTAAATATTTACTCCAGTTGTTTTGATTTTATAATTCGAGTCAGTTATGGAAATAGTAAATTAAGCTTTTTTCCAGAATATGTCCAAGAATTAAACTGTGATTCTGAGATCACTATGTTTATGCGTTACCTTGAGTGAATAAAATATGCCGTTAATTATGCTGATATTATTATCGATATCTTCGCTAATGAAAGGCAAATCCTCCTCATTCCATGTCATAAAAGTAAACAAATCTAAACTCACTTTCACTTCTGAACTTAATTTTACAGAAGACTTTAGCGAAATTGAACTCTGAATGACATATTCAACTTCCATATTCAGGCAGTTATTAAAAAAGTATCCTTCTCTTACAGTATTAATTAAAAATTTGATCGAATTTTTCACAAAACTTTTGCATGCAAAATGAGTTTTGCACATATTTTTTGGTATTTTTCATTTATCGTTACGATTGACAAATTAGAAGAAAAAGGAGCATGAAAAATGTGCATCCATATCGCACTGAACTCAAATTTCTCAAACTTTACTTCAATTTTTTTCAATTCTTTACCTTGAAGAAATCCACGAAGCACAATTTTCAATTAAGCTGAACGACTAATTAGTAATGAGCCATGTAGTAGAAGCTGACAATAAAGAAAACAGGATATTTAAAGATACAATGTCTCACTTCAAATAAATGGATTTATTTTCGAGATCAGCGAATTCATTACATTGAAATAATATTAAAATTCAAATAAACAACTAATAATGCATAACCTACCCACTTTCCTCAGTTTTACTGCACTGGTCTACGTCATCTGATCGAGTTCGCCGCGGTCATCGAATGAGATGCTCGTGAGCTTGAACACCATCGACTGAATATATGACTCGACGTCATCAGATATACTGATCTCCTTCACGCAGGTTTATGGATTTTGTTACAATCCCATCCAAGTTATCACATGTTTTCGTCCTGCATTTTGACCCAAGCTTATTAGCCAGCAAATCATATTTTCGCTTGCTCTCAATCTCGACTGCAGCTAACCTGTCCAAGCCAATGATGCCAACCTCTATCAGCAGTACTTCAAGTCGCTTCTTATCGTATATCATGATATCCGCTCGATCCGCACTTATCTTCACTTCTTACTGGCATATCGACTCTGATCTCAACGTTTTCATTTGCGGCGACCTCCTCAACAGAATGACTTCGCGTGCGCAGGAATGCTTTCAGATCGTAGCAACATCCAACTGCATGACACGTACCGTCTAACTCTCTACGTACCACTCGAAAGATTCGAAATGCAAGTTACTGACGTAAAATTTTTACCTTTGTTTTTGGAATCTATAGGTAGTTCATTTTTAAAACTACGAGCCTTGACTCTTTCAAGAATGGGAGCATAGATGACCTGCAATACTAATAATCGCAGAATTTGCATTATTCTTCAGTTTTTTTCCGTTAATCGCGCCACAAGAATTCTGCATAATTTAAGGAGCGATACAAGGGCCATCTCTTTCTCGTATCCTCCCGGAACGGTCATAAATGTTTGTAGTAAGAACTTTCAGAAATCGCTTCTATAGAATTTTGAAAAATTTATTATTTTATGAATTTCACTAGCAATTAAAATATTTTCTGATACAAAATAGAATATTCTTATTGAAACTGAAAATTTATCACGAAATCTCGGAAGTATTTGATTTTTTTAAATAGCGATTTACAAAAAGTAAAGTTTATATAATCCATCCAAAAACTTTGTTGATACTTCGAAATGATTGAAAGAATGAAAAATACAAATTGTTTTCCTGTCAAGTGAAATTTATCTGATGAAAAAAAATAGAAATTTATTCCATGCAAAAAAGTGGTAAGAGGCATTTTTATCAGATATGTTATGCGAAAGTGAGATAAGCTCCAAAATATTAATGACTTCATATTTTGCTTTTTTATATTTATGGGTACTAAATTATAACTCTCCTTACTATACATCATTAGAAATTTAGAAATAAAAGTTTGGCAGCAAATCAAGCAAGATAAATTACAAAATAGCAACAAGATTACATATTTTTCTGCGTGTTACCGAATAAAAATTCATATTTAAAAAATTTAAGGTTCTAAGGAATAAAAATATTTAAGAATTATTGGCAAAAGTGCATTTCAGAAATGGGATCTTTTAGAATATCGAAATGATATCACTTTAATTAAACTTTAAAAATAAAACTACTATTTCTGTGAAGAGTTAAAATTACTATTTTGCATAAGCTTTAAAGAGTTAATTTTTTGATGGGACAATTTGGGTTTCTAAACTTATTTTCAATGAGAAGTGTGGTCATTTTGATTGACATAAGATTTAGAAGGTCTCTCCTTTGCTTCTAATATAGAGGTGTCATTTTCTTAGGTTAATCGCGCTGATATATACATATCTTAATAAGTTTTTATTCATTACATCACAAGTTTTAAGACTAAAGAAATATTCGGAAAAATTATTGCTTTTTTCTTGAAAATTTTTTGAAAAATTAAAGCAAATGTTTAGAAAAAACTTTCTAAAGTGCAGCAGTGTCAGTTTTGTAAAGAACATTAATTCACGATTTTTCTTCATACTGACAACACTGAGATCAATTTTTTTCACTGATAATAATAATTGTGAAACTTTCGAAGCACTAATCTGCTAGGAAACTTCTGACATACCTGTGAAGGAGTAATTTTTTATGTTATCGTAGAAGCGATAACATGAAAATGATCAGATCATCATTATTTCAAGAAAATATAAGTGATACTCTACTCATTTCTTCTGTTCTACAAAGTGAGTGCTTAATTTTATTATTCAGATGACATGTTCTGCCATTAAGTCATTTGAGTAATAGATTTTTTTCTTTTTTCAACCTCCCTGTCCTTAAGCTATAAAAATGGCTAAACTGTCTTCTGAGATCAGTGTTTAGGCGTTAAATTGATGCTGTTCTACATTTGTCAAGTCATTTGAGTACTCAGTACATGAAAAAGTGAATCAAAAAGCAAAGACTTTAGACCCAAAACTATTCATTCAATATAAAAATAAGTCAAAAATAAAAGGCACAAATAAATGAATTTTTGTGGCAGATAGAAGTTAGGTGAATAAATAATTGTAAAGTGAGGCAATAAGTGAATAGACGGAATACGCAAATGAACAAATACAACGTGTATAAAAACGAGAAAAAGTAACGGAAATGAATAAAGAAAGTAAGTGAACATCAATCAAAAAGGAAAAGCTAATAAAATCGAAACGAATAAATAAAATTTTACCAATTGCATATAACGCATTTCTCGTTGACAAGTTTTGATCGGCATGCATTTGGTTTTGCATTCTGAAACTTCATATGGAGTTCTAAACTTTTGCAAGAACAATTAAATTTGAGTACCCATTTGCATTATAGTAATTGCAGTACTTCTGCATTTACTCAAAAAATTTCAAGAATTTACATTCTCCGTGGTACACAGACATTGCTGTAATCACTGTCACTAAATCTTAATAATTACAATAAATAAATGTTGTACCAAAGTATATATTTATTTCGTTTATTTAATCTGAATTTCAGACTTTCTCTCCATTTCAGGTTTTCACTAGACAAATAATAATTAATAACTTATCAAAATACCGTAAGATATTTTTAATCAAAAAACTTGACTTTTTTTACATCTTTTTCGATTTTACTTCATTTTTAATATGGACTTTCCAGACACCGAAGAAGCAAAAATTTCTGTAATTTCCGAATTTCCATCAAATGAAAATGAAATAGTCAAAAATATTTGTGTTACAGCTAATTTGATTGAAGTACCAATAAACGCAACTTAGCAAATAAGCAAATTTTCTGATAATTAATAGCCAAATAGTTAAAATATAATCCTTTGAAAACAGTGTAGCAAAATGTCTGATAATCTGTTAAAAACCACAAATTTCAAATTTAATTGAAATGTTTTGAACACAGTCAGTACTCATTTAGAAATTTTCGGTCACTACTAATAATTTCGCGATAGTTAAAATAATTGTCTTGTCAATTTATCATGACACACTAAAGCCATAATAATAATTATAATTATTATTATTATCGTAATTATAATTATCATTAGCAGTAGCACTATTATAGCAAAAATGACTTTTATGATCTACAAAATAAGAATGTCAATACTTATAGTATTTTCCCGTTAATTAATTTGTAATGCATAACTGGTAACTGCAAAGTATGAAACTCAATCAAAGAAAGAATCACTTAATTTTTCACTTAGAAGTTTGCAACTTTCAAAGTATATGCTAGGCATAAAAGCGAACATAAGTTGAGGTATTGTTTGTTCAAAAAATTGAAAGTGAATGGTACTTGCCAAGTTTGCCTTGATCGTCATCAATGGACAAAGGTCTGCGCAAGCTGGAGAGAAGAGATATTTGTGATCCATCCGTGGTAGCACAAGGATGTTGCCATTCGTCAGAAATCTCCTTAGAGTTATGGTCTTCAACATTTATCATGGACAATGTTGATCCATAAAAGTCGTCACAAACAGAATAATTCGCTGATCGCAGAGTTTCGACGCTCGATTTGGAATTTTGCTGAACAAGTTTAGAATTCAAGGATGGAATGGCTGGTAAGCGACGAGGAAACCGATTCATATTGTTTTTCCAAGTAATCCGTGTATGTTCTCCTCCATTTTGTATATTGCCATCCATTTGAAAATTGCCTGAAACCAAATCATTACTTATCAATTTTATGCCCCACCCATTCAGCATGATCTGCAACCAGTAAATATTTTTTGTGAAATCACCACATTCCTTGATGGTGCTCACAAAGTGTAAATTATCACAAGTAATAATTCCTGGAGTGAATGCTTAAAGATAGTTACCGATGCAGTCTATCAATAATTATCGTTAAAAGAAGTTATTTTGTTGCAGAGACAAATATTTCTACAATGTTATTAATAATAGTAAAATGTCAAATTCTGCATAAATTGTCAATGCTTGCATCCCCATTAACATATCTTTTGCTTTCGAATTTTGATAATTTATTTCATCTTTAACAACTTTTTTTGCTTTACAACTATAAATACCAAAGCAATGCAAATGATTCACTCTCCGTTTTTGTTAGCTAGAAAAACCAGTAAAAAGATATGTATGTTTATAAGCCTTTTGCCCTAACTTTCGATTTTCGGAAGAAGATTTTTAGATTTGATAAGGGTTTATTTGTTTAGTTACTACCATTCTTAAGCTGTACAGAATGAGCCGCTAGAAATTTTGTTTCAAAAATATGCTAATAATGTTATCATTACTGCAACAGAATATGAAAAACACTTGCAACTGCTTAGATAATTAAATGAATTTCGAGTTCCTGAAAAAGTTTTGATTTTTTGAGCTGTTGAGTGAAATCAGAACTTTTCAAGCAATGTGAAGTTTTTAATTACTGCAGACATAATAAGTGTTTTTGGTAAAATAATTAAGTGAAATCGAAATACATTCACTGTACTCATCCAGTTTCTCTGTCCATGGAGTTATTGTATTTATCATGTTGAAAAGCATGAAATCATTAGATATATACAGCATAGACACTTCGAAACGTTTAAAAAAAAACAAAAAAACTGAAAATATTTTTGCTGCACAACAGCGCTATTATTGAACAGAAATTTTGCTTTTGGACAGATATATTGCTAAAGCAATTTGTAGATTGAGAAAAAACAGCAAGTATGAAAACGTCA